TGACATCTATGGGGCAGGATCAAAAGGACGCTGTTATCTCACAAGGAGGTCTCCAGGCTTTCCCTGTGCTTAAGGTGAACCCTCAAACAGGACAGCCTAACACACATCATGTTATATCCTTGAAAGCTGTGATGGACATTAGAGACAAGGAGGCTAGATATGGTCTAGGTTCTGCAGAGGTGATGGACATGATTAGAATCAATTCTGACCTACTAGTACCATATGACATTAGGCACCTTGTGCAGGTGTTATTTCAGCCTGTCCTGCTTGAAGTCTTTGAAGCCAATTGGAAGCAGCTGTCTGTGAAAGTAGCTGCATGCAACAGTCAATTGTCTCAACAAGACTCCAGGTATGGGGTTGGATGTGATCTGTTGACAGGGGTAGGCAATTTTGCTAACTCTGATTTCCAAACTACCTTCCACCCGCAGATGGTGGACCAGTGCCAGAAGACAGGCATGGCAGCTCTGCTGAAACCATATTGTTAGAAGCTCCAAAACAGAGATTTACCACTAGAGTCCAAGGGACTAAAGAACCTTATTTGCAGTTTGTTGAAAAACTCTGCATCTTTGGAGAAGCAGGTGGATGATCCTGCCTTAAGAAAGTTAGCTGGTCGGACAGCTTGCAAGAAGCAATGCTAATGATGATTGCAGGAAGGTGATTGAGGCCAGGTTCTCCCAGGGGTTCCTTCCTTAGTGGACATGGTCCAGGCTTGTACTAATATCAGTGCCACAGATTATAGGATGGCTGCCTTGGCTACTGCTTTACCAGCGTCCTCAAAAGGGCCAAAGGATAAGCAGCAGAAGCAGGTGACTGTACAAGTCAACACGAAGCAGGGAAAACAGAAACAGAAAGGGAAAACTCCTTTGTGTCTGTGTGGTCAGTGTGGAAATCCAAACCACATTGCAGAGGCTTCCCAAGTGAAATTACATGCTAAGGGCCATCCTTTGCCAAATTCGGGAAGCGTTAAGCTGAGCGCTTTGGGGAAACGCGTGCAGACATAAACACTTCCCCAGGTCCCAATGCTGATGCAGGTCTGCTCAGCTGGCTTGTGGCCAGCACCCGTGGCTCAGCTGGACTTGATGTCTGCACAGCAGCAGCAGGCGTCTTGAACTCTTGCAAAGTGCACAAAGTTCCTTTGAATGCCTTTGGACACTTGGGGGAGGGCAAAAGTGCTCTCCTCATGGGGAGGTCAAGTACCACTCTCCAGAGTATCATTGTGCATCTGGGACTTATTGATGCAGATTATAGGGGACAGATTCATGCTATGGTTTCCACTCCCACCTCCCTGTCACTATCCCTGAGAAACACACATTGCTCAACTTGTACCTTTCAAGTCTTCAGTTTCCAGGGCTGCGAACCAGGGCTGCGAATCGGTGTTGAGGGGACGGCTGCTTTGGATCGAGCAAGCCACCTCAAGTGCACTGGACTGCAACCCTGACTGAAAAATGTCCCAAGATGTGGAGTACCCTGTGCCTCCCTGGTGCCACCAGAGATCCACCTACAAGGTCTGATCGACACAGGTGCTGACATAACCATCCTGTCCTCCTCTGCGTGGTCTCTGCAGTGGTCTCTGGATCCTGTGGAGTCGCCCATCACAGGATTGGGTGCAACAGCGCAATGCTTCATCAGCCAGCAGCCTGTGCTGATTATAAACTCAGAGGGACAGTCTGCTGTGGTTCAACCTTATGCCACCACTATTGCTAACCTCTGGGGGCAGGATGTACTGGCAGGTTGGGGGTATGGATTGGGATGGATTTTTGATGGGGGCCACTGTAATGAAGGGCGCACAGTGCCCCACAGCTCCTTTACAGGGGCTGGTGAACAAACTGATCAGGAAAAATCAGTGGCTCCTCCAGGAAGAAAATGTAGTCGCCCTTCAAAATTCAGTTCAAGAGCAAGTTACAAGTTGTACCAATGTGCCAGGTTTCATAGCAGAAGATAATGCCAGGGCTGACAAGCTGGCTAACCCTGCATGGGTATCACCTCAGCCTGATGTACTCGCACAAGCCAAAACATGGCATGAATTTTTTCATCAAAATGCACATATGTTACAAAAGCAGTTTCAGTTGACCCCAGCTGAGGCTGGTGTCATTGTCAGTTCCTGTGATGACTGCCATGTGTTTGCTCTGCCTTTACTGGTGGGGGTAGACCCCAGAGGTCTCAAAGCCTTGGAGATTTGGCAAACAGTTGTTACCCACATTGCTGAATTTGGCAGACTCAAGTATGTGCATGTGTCTCTTGACACGTCCTCCTCAGCCATGTGGGCTTCTGCGCATACTGGAGAAAAAACTCGCAATATCATTGCCCATTGGAAGCAGGCTTTTGCCATGCTAGGGATACCTTCTACTGTGAAGACCGATAATGGCCCTGCATACACCTCACAGAATGTGTGGCAGTTCATGCAGCTGTGGGGTGTTGCACACAAATTTGGCATTCCGCATTCTCCAACTGGTCAAGCCATTGTTGAACACGTTCATGGTACGCTGAAGCAGGTTCTTCAAAACCAAAAACGGGGAATGGAGGGTGAAACCCCGCACAGTTGATTGGCAAAAGCTTTGTATACGGTCAATCACCTTATAGTGCTACAGAATTCAAATAACCCTGTTATCTTGAGCCATCACATTTCTTTGCAGGCTTCACATGAGACGCATTAGCCCCGAACAAAAGTTTGGGTGCTAAATTTGACCACCAAGCAGTGGAAAGGCCCATTTGAACTTATCTCTTTGGGTCACGGGTATACATTTGTATCCACAGATACTGGGGTGCACTGGGTACCTACAAAGTGTGTCCATCCTGACCTGCAATTGCAAAGGCAGAACTGAGCTAACAGGCAAACCTCAGGCTGTGACCAGAATGAAGGTCATCAAGTAGAGGAACGTTTGGGTGATGACGCAGATGCAGAAGATGTGAGTGATCACTCAAATGGTCCCTCTATGAGGAGGTGTTAAACATCTTGCTCATTTTCTCTTATTTTCTTTTTTTATTTATAGAAAAAAAGATTGAGATGTGGACATGATTTTCTGAACCTGAGAGTTTTAGGCTCTCAGTGGCTGATCTGTTCCCAAGGGAAAGTTTCTTGAGAACATGTTTCTCTCAAGAACTGTTTTTTGTAAATAGGGTTTTGTTTCTCAAAACAATGTACAGATGTTCTGAGTGTTTTCTCTTGTTCCACCAATGGGACCAGAGAGGTGTTGTTCCCTTTACCAATCATGTTAAAACTGTATCATAACACCTTATAAAAGGGGCTGAAAACCCCAAAATAAAGGCTTCTACTTTCTTGGGATGAAACCTGAGAAAGACCCACTCTGATTATAGATGGTCCTTCTGGTCCTGGTCCCACTGAAAGATCAACCCATCTTGAAGTGCGGCAATCTCCCTATTACAATAAATTTGAAAGGCAACTCTGGGTGACAACTATGTGCCTGTCTCATGTCAATCATACTTTTTACTTTCTCCAAAGCAGCCCTGGCCTCTGGAGTCAGAGTCTTTGGAGCATTCAGCTTTCTCCCCCTTTCAATAAATTGAAAAGAGGGGCTAGGTCATCAGTAGCAATGCCTAGCCAAGGCCTGACCCAATTTAGAGTCCCACACAGGTAGTGCAAATCTGCTAAGGTTTTGGGATCACTGTTAAATGCCAATTTTTGAGGAATAATAGTCCTTGCAATGATTTCCAGACCCAAACACTTCCAAGGAGGCATCCTTTGCACTTTTTCCTCCTGGAGGGTGAGTCCTGCAGTTGTTAAACCTTGGATCACACCGTCAAGCATGAACTGCAATAATTTGTCATGGAGGGCACACACGAGCACATCATCCATATAATGCAGGATGATGGCTTCTCCCACTTTGGCACACACAGGTGAAAACAGCCAGGTAACATACCATTGGCAGATAGTAGGTGAATTTTTCATCCCTTGAGGGAGAGATTTCCAATGATACCTTCTCCTTGGTGTTTCCCAGTTGATGGTAGGTACCGGGAAAGCAAACCTATGGGCATCTGCAGGGTCTAGGGGAATTTTGAAAAAGCAATCTTTGATGAGCTGAAGAAAGCCTGCCGCTGCTGAGTTAGTTAATTTTGCAGTAAAACAAGATAAAAACGAGTTGTGCTAACACATTGTTAAAAGCAGAAATGGGATCCTAACTGTCTACACTCCAACCAAATTTAAAATCCAAATTGCAAGAATTTTTAAGTACCATAAATGTTAAAGTTTCTAGAAAAAAGTTAAAATATTTTATCTCATGGCTATCCTGTAACATTTCACAGCTTGATTTGTCAGAAGTAAATTCTATCTCTGCATGGAATAAAATTGGCAATTTTTTTAATCCTTAAAGAGGAAAATGGAGACAAAACTGCTTCAAAGTAGCTCTTGGTTTTTCTTATAATTTGAAAAGAATTGATTAACAGAGAAAAATAAATAAAAAAAACAGACACTGCAAACTCCCATTAGTTTCCCCTACTTCTTCTCCTAAACCCTCTGCCCCTGAGCTGAAAAAGACACATAGAACAGACTCAGAAACTCAATAAATGCTCTGTAACAATGTCACTCCTGGTTCCAAGTGTCTCATTCAGCCCCCCATCTCTGATAGTGTCACACAAGCTATCAGAGAGCTTTCCCTGCACCCTCATATTCCAACTATTAGATCCCCCTACGTCCAGGTGCCTGGATGGAGCCAGCCATGTGCCAGATAGCCATGTGGAGAAACCTCGCTCGTATCTCCCTCCCCCTTCCCATGACTCTTTCCACCCACCTGTCTCCGCCCAGTTCCCCTACTCCTCCCATAACCCCTCCCCTCCCTCACACATTTCCCCTCACTGTAACACACTCCTGCCCCAGCATGACATCACCTTGCAATGCAGCCTCCAAGTGTTGCAACCTTGCTCCCCACGCCCCTGCCCCTTGTCCCCACGGGGAGGGGGGGAGTGAGAGGAGTGGCCCTGCCCTCTGCTCCCGTGGGGGGGCGGGGGGAAGAGGTGTCCTGCCCCTGTCCCCGGGGGAAGGGAAGATGTGTCCCTGCCCAAGCACTGTGGGGCTGTGGGTGGCACCCTCCAGCGACGGGGGGCTGAGGCAGGGCCCCCTGCGCCTGCTGGGGCTGTGGGTGGATCCCTCCACCCATCCGGGGGTGAAGCGGGACCTCCAGGGCCTGGTGAGGGTGGGACTGGACAGGGAAACCCCGGAGATTCAGGCTCTGGGGAAGATAAGGATATGCCTACCGCTGCACCTGCAATATTTACTGGTAAAAAAAGAACTAATAGACATTATCAGCCTTTCTCTTATCATGGTATCAGAGAGATATGTAAAATACAACATGAATTTGGCAAAAATAGTGAAATATTAAAAAGAATGATTAAAGCTACCTTAAAATCTCAGGAGTTAATTCCTGCTGACCTCAAAGACTTCATCAGGTGCCTCCTAACCCCCATTGAGTTTGATTTTTGGGAAAGCTCATGGAAAAGGTCACTAAAAGACCTCCTACAGGAACTCAAACAAAGCATGCAAGATGCAAAAGATGCAGAAAATAATGAAATTACTTTTGAGCACCTCTGTGGGGAAGGGAGGTGGGCCAAGTCTGAAGACCAGGCGCAGGTTCTAACAAAACCTGTTTTAGATAAAATCTGTGATGTACAGAAAAAGCTTACAATAAATTACTAACACTTGAAACCCAAGTCAGTTATGTTAATATTAAACAGTTTCCATCAGAAAGGTTTTTGCAGTTTGTTGATCGGCTTAGAATACATGTACAACAACAGGTACAAGAACCAGTAGCACAAACAGAACTGATTAAAGAAATGGCTCAAAGAAATGCCAACGAGGCCTGCTGCAAAGTGATTTTAAATCTGCCCATCCATCCTCCACCCACCATAGCAGATATGATCCAAGCGTGTGCCAAGAAAGCAGATCTGTACAGTGCACACGACAAGAAACCAGGACCATTCAACCCAAGCACTGTGGCAGCTGTAGCACCCAGGATGAACAAGCCACAGATGTCACCAGAACAGCTGCAGCACATCATCTGCTTCCAGTGCAAGCAGCCAGGACATTTCACAAAGAATTGTCCTCAAAACCAACAACAAGGGAAACACCAGAAGAAGCTGTAAAAAATCAACAAAAAAACTAGAAAAAAAGCGCTTTTCCATCAAGCGCCGAGACACAAAAGTGATGGACCTGAAACAGAAAAAAGACTATTTTAATAAAATGTTGGAAAAAGGGGGAGGGGGGTGGAAGGCTGCAGAAACATAATTGTGGGGAACGCATGCCTAATAAGATCTGGGAACCACAAAAGTGATCTAGACTTGTAACTGCTGAAGCTTTTCATTTCAGGACTAACCATTGGACAGTCATTGGAGTGACCTGCAGGATAATTCACAAGACCTGGCTGGACTGGATAGTAGGTATTTTGTTATTGGAGACACAGCATACACCCCCCTAGAACTTGAAATAGCTTCCATAATAATTAAGGGAGAACTAACACATCTCACTCTTCTAGCAAGATGTCTTCAGCCACCATTCTATTTGATCAAGGGGCAAATAATAGCCCAAGTGATCTCTTTTCCAACAGAAGTCCCAGTAGCTGATAAAGCACCAGGAGTATACTGGGCAGAAGTGGTGGGTGAAGACAAACCCATTATGGGTTTGTTCTCCATGTAGAAGGGTTGATTGACACTGCAGCAGATGTGACTATCATACCTGAAAAAGTGCAGCCTTCACATTGGGAACTGCAACCCGTGGCAGGCAAAATACAGAGTGTTGGAGGAATGAAACTGGCAAAAATCTCTAAGAGCATTGTTCCGATTGAGGGCCCGGATAGAAGATTGGCTAGTGTCCATCCGTTTGTCACTGACTACAAGTGACCCCTCTGGGGGAGAGACACCATGTTCCAGTGTGGAGTCAAACTAACAATTCCTGAGACCCCCAAGGATTTTTAGAGGGGACCACTGTAGAGCGTCCTACCCAAAAGTTAACATGGTTGGATGACAATCCAGTGTGGGTGAACCAGTGGCCTCTCAGTAAACAGAAACTCAGGGCACTTGAAAAATTAGTGGAAGAACAATTAGCCAAGGGACACATAGTAGAAACAACCAGCCCATGGAATTCCCCAGTATATGTAGTAAAAAAGCCAGGGAAAGATAAGTGGCACCTCCTTCAGGATTTGAGAGAAATAAACAAAAAGATTGAAGACATGGGGTCTCTCCAACCAGAGATGCCCTCTCCTACAATACTCCCAAAAAATTGGCAATTGGAAGTTCTGGACATTAAGGTCTGTTTTTTCCAAATTCCACTACACCCAGCAGATGCCTGTTGTGGTTTTAAACCAGTAACTAAAAAATTACTTATTTCTTGCTGTGAGATATGGATTAGAACAAGAGCAAAACAGGCTTAAAACTTAAAAGGAATAAAGGAAGTTTATTAACAAAACTACAAGAATAAAAACACCAGAATAAACTTCCAGAATACTCTTTTATCCCCCACTACCTGACCATTCTTTTGTACACATGACAACATAGAGACAGAAAAACTTCAGAACTTTAGTGGTTAAAACAGTCCCAATTCCTGCTACAGTCTTTTCATCAGTCTTTGTAGAGAAACAGAAGTCTCTTTCTGTTAATCTATGGAGTTTCTCACAAGAAAACTATTTCTGTTATAGTTTTCTATTTCCCTGATGTCAGCTGCCCAGAAATCTGTCATCAGAGCTCACTCCTCCCATTTCACATCACTCTGAGGTGTGTATGGGCCATGAGTCTAGGGATGTCATTTTAAGGATGAGTTATTCAAAGGCAAAAGTCCTTAGCTGTCTCTGTGAGCTCCACTAGAAAACAGTTTTCTCATTGCCCCCCCAAGGCTTCAAATCTTTGCTTCACTCTGTTCCAGCACTTCACTGTATTACAATTACTCTACTTTTTACTCAAAATCCATACTTTGAACATTCTATTCCTCCCTATATACTCTGTCATGAATTAAAGGAGTTTTTTCAAGACCTTATTGTCCATCTCCATAGCTTTAACAGAAAAATATTTCAGCTTATAAAGCATCTCCTTATTCTCTACCTTTTCTGAAGCTTCTTTTCTTTACTGTCTCTGATAGTTTATAAAGTCTCTTTACATGCTGATTACTCTCTTTTCTCTCTCTGGATAAAAGGATTAATCTGCAAGTCTCATCTGGGTAATGAAAGGGTTAAAATCTTGCCCAGGCTTTGTAGATGGTTCTGTGATCTCTGCCGGAGCAGCGGCTGGAGTTGTCTGCAATGGAAGATTCTTCATTGCTGCTCTGGAAAGTGTGGTCACTGTCTCAGCCCCCAGCAGAAAAAAGCTTTTTTCTTTCTTTACTCGTCAGTCTCTGGTGAATTCAGTCACAGCAAAAACAGCAGCCAAGCCAGGGAGCGGCCTGGCCCGGCCTGGGCCCTGGAGAAGCCCCGCAGGCCCCATCTCCCGGCTGGGAGCCGCTGGGCCCAGCCCAGCCCCTACCCGGGCCTCATGGGCTGGGCAGGGAACGGGAGGCCAGCTGGAGCTCTGTTACCTTTCACAGCCAGGAAACAAAGAGAACAAGAGTGCTCTGACTTTACATCTTAAGGAGGTGTTCACAGGTTGACTTAACTTTTTAATGGTTAAAACTGCTGTCAGTTCTTAGAAATGACTGATAATTGGTCAGGAGGAAAGACTCCCATCAGCCACCAGCAACTTCAACTTTCCTTAGCTCCCAAAGCTATCTTAAAGGTAAAGCCACCCCATGACAATGCCCCACGGTTTTCTTTTTCAATTCTCACAGTTAACTGAGAAGCCCCAATGAAAAGATAGCATGGGAGAGTATTACCTCAGGGGATGAAAGCGAGTCCCTTCATCTGCCAGTGGTATATGGGGTCATTGCTATCCCCTATTCATGCTGAAAAAAGAGATGCCATCATCCTACACTACATGGATGACATGTTAGTGTGCTGTCCCAATAACAGCATGCTGCAAGACACACTTGACCTAGTGGTTAAAGTTTTAACCTCTGCTTGATTCCAACTGCAGGAGGACAAAGTTCAAAGGATGCCGCCTTGGAAGTACCTGGGCCTGGAGATCTCCGTGCGGACCGTGGTTCCACAGAAATTTGAAATCATTAGTAATCCCAAAACTCTAGCGGATCTCCATTCCCCTGTGCTGGTCCTTGAACTGGGTCAGACCCTTGCTAGGTCTCACTAATGAAGACCTGAGTCCCCTGCTCAATTTATTGAAAGGGGAGAGAGAGTTGCTGTCTCCCACGGAGCTGACTCCAGAAGCAAAAACTGCAATTGAAAAAGCACAAAGGGCCTTGACAGAAAGAAAGGCACATCACTTTAAATCGGAGCTGACTTTCAAATTTATTGTCCTGGGGAAATTATCACAATTACATGGGTTGATATTCCAGTGGGCTGAGGGGCAGAGAGATGCACTCTTAATCATAGAGTGGGTCTTCCTCTCCCATCAATGACCCAAAACTATCACCAAGCCACAAAAGCTGATGGCTCAGCTGATCCAAAAGGCCAGGGCAAGGCTGCAAGAACTGGCAGGTTGTGAATTTGTGTGTATTCACCTCCCAGTTAGACTCTCTGGAGAAGGCAAACACTCTCCTGAGAAACTGACCAAAGAGATGTTTGAGCACCTGCTGCGGAGCAATGCTAACCTCCAATTTGCTCTGGATAGCTACAGTGGGCAAATATCGGTCCATGCACCATCACACAAATTGTTTCATGAGGAATTCCACCTCATTCCTTGTGAGAAAAGGAGACAAAGGCCCTCAAAGCTCTTACAGTGTTCACTGATGCATCTGGAACTTCTCATAAGTTTGTGATGACTTAGAGAAATCTGCAGACTCAGCTTTGGGAAGCTGATGTTGAATTTGTAGAGGGATCACCCCAGATAGCTGAACTGGCTGCAGTCATAAGAGCCTTTGAAAAGTTTTCAGAACCGATAAATTTAGTTACTGACTCAGCCTACGTCGCAGGGGTGGTGTCCAGAGCAGAGCAGGCAGTTCTCAAGGACATTGAGAACGAACATCTCTTTAGATTGCTCTCAAAACGGATTTATTTGATTTCAACTCGAGAGCATCCTTTCTATGTGATACACATAAGATCTCATACCCCATTACCAGGTGAAATCACAGAAGGGAATCAGAAAGCTGATTCCCTTGCTGCCCCAGCCGAAAAGGTGTGTCTCCCAGATGTGTTCCAGCAGGCTAAGCTAAGTCAACAGCAATACCATCAAAATGTGCCAGGACTGATTCGTCAGTTCCACGGGGAACAGGCTAAAGCCTGACATGGGGTCAGGCTAAAGCTATTGTGGCCACCTGTCCCGATTGCCAGGTCCAGGCAGTGCCATCATTAGGCATCAGGGTTAATCCCTGAGGCCTTGGAAGCTGTGAGGTATGGCAAACAGAAATCACTCACATTCCCAGTTTTGTTTGCCTTAAGTACACGTGAGCATTGATAAATACTCAGGAACAGTGTATGCCTCTGCTCATGCAGGAGAAAAGTCTGTACATGCTAAACAACACTTAGTACAGGCCTTTAGAGTGCCGGGGATCCCTAAAGAAATTAAAACAGATAATGGCCCAGCGTATAAATCCAAGGAGTTCCTAGAATTCGTCCAGCAGTGGGGAGTGGACCACTAAACTGGCATCCCCCACTCCCCCACAGGTCAAGCTGTGATTGAGCGTACACACCAGACACTCAAACAAGTCCTAGCCAGGCAAAGTAGTGGAACAGTGTGGATGTCTTCACAGCAAAAGCTTTGTAAAGCTATATTTACCATCAATTTCCTGAAGTGTTCATTTGAAAACATGAATCCTCCATTGACTCGGCATTTTAACAGTGGTGATCAGTTTAAATTGTCACAGCGTCCACTGGTTTTAATCAGGGACCCTGAAACTTGGCAAACCCTCCGAGACTTGATCGGACAAGTGAAGCAAGAAGCTGAGGGCTGGTTTAGTGAGCTGTTCAAAGGCTGGGGACTCACAGGACGGTGGACCTCTATAATCAAAACAATCTTGTTGTTTTTTGTTGTTCTGTTTCTAATCGTGCTAGCATTTGGGATTGTCCATTGTTTAGTTTTAAAAGCTCTCAAAAAATTGGTCTCTACTACCTCAGAGATCAACCACATAGAACTAGCAGACCAGAAGCAATCTAACCAGCCCACCAATCACGAGTGGTGGACAAACCTGTGACCAATATCAAGATAATCTCATAACCCTTCAAAAAAATTTATATAATAAGAAAGGGTGAGATGTTGTAATGGAGTTAGGAAAAATGGTATGACCCAAGAGAATGTACCCCTGAAATGTAGAAGGTTCTTTCCCTTATCTCTTTCTCCCCAGTTCCCCTTATTGGCTGTGTGAATGTAACCCACTCACTTCCTCCTGCCTTCAAAAAGAGGCGCTTATCAATATTCTTCCTCTTTTCCTCCTGCTGTCCTTCTCCATGTGATCCCAAGAACAAGAATAAAGCTGAACTTCCATCTCAGCAAGGGAAAGAGCCTCGTTTTAATTCCTCTGTTCCATGCTATACTATCTCCCTGTTTCCCTGGCTGCAGCTGGGTGGACAGTGGTAACAGAGAAGCAGGAGACATAGAAATAATAGCACAGAACAAGTTATTGAGTTATTAATTACAACAGGACACGAACAGCCAAGAAGTACAAGGATAAGAACATTGATTTGGCAGGGAGCAACAGGGAGATTGGCTAAAGATGCGGTACCCCTAATCAAGAACTGTGGCAAGTATATGCGGATTCCAATTCATTATCAGGGGAAATCAACAAGATGGAAAAATGTGGTTATCAATGGGAAGTTAAGTATGCTCTTCATTGGGCTGTGGCTAACAGTAACTAATGATCATCCTACAGTGCAAATTAACCCTAGGGAAAACATATGGGTCACATTTGCCAACCAGACAGGACAGCAATTCTTTTGTTTATCCATGACCACCCCAGAGGATCCTTTTATGAGCTGTTTGATTGGGGTTTGAGGTTACACAATTTAGGGGTCTGGCTAAAAACAAATGAATTTGACTCAAGCTAATGCAACGTGCCAAATTCTGAAACTTGGGATTGATGGGAATGCTTGCTGGATGGGGCAAATAATAATCCAGTTGAACCATACACAGATTGAGCCACAAGAATTAAGTTTGTTAGGATCATTGTGGCCAAAGGACAGATGTCTGTATTTTAAAGGTAATATACAACATGCAAAACAACTAATAGAAGGCAATAGCAAGACAGTAGAAGTTACTATGCAGACTAACAATATGCTTTATAGACACTGAAGTGATGGTTTTGACATCTTTTGCCCCAGAAACAAGATACACAGTGATGTGTGGAGCAACAGTACACAAGGATTAAAATTACCCAGTGGAATATTTTTAATTTGTGGAGATAGGGCCTGGACTGAAATTCCAAGTAATCCAGTAGGCAAACCTTGTTATATTGGAAAATTGACCATGTTTAGGCCAGACCATAAGCAGTTACTGGATCACATGATATGGAATGTTACAAAAGCAAGGAAGAAAGAGAGAGACAAATCAGTTAGGCCCAGACTGTGATGACAAAGTACACTTTTGGAATGAACCTGCACATGTTCTAAACTCTTTGGTTTTATTCCAGATTGCAGCAGGAAAGGCACACTTAACAAATTAGGATGTTGGATTGCTAAACTAATAAATTTAACCTCTGAAGTGATATCACAGCTTTTAGCTGATGTAGATAGCATAAGGCATGCAACTTTACAAAACAAAGCAGCTATTGATCTTTTACTGTTAGCAGAAGGACATGGGTGCGAAGATTTTGAAGGAATGTGTTGCATTAATCTTTCTGATCACTCTATCTATTTACCAGAAACTGGCACAATTGAAAGAGAATATGAAAAAATTAACAGTAAGTGATGGAGGATTGGGGGAATGGCTTAAAGCTGGGGAATTACTGGAGGTTGAAAGATATTCTGACTTACTGTGTTGATTGTAATAGTGTTATTACTGATTGTACCATGCATACTTAGGGGAACTACGAACATAATTGAGAATGCTATAAAGAAGGTTGGGCTGATTCAAGAAAAAGAAGGGGGAATTGTAGAATCATATTTACAGGAAAATGGACACGTACTAAATGAACCAGCCTAACCTTCTGGAACAAAAAGAATAAGGTTATCTTTGTGAATAAAAAAACTGATGTTGCAAGAAGAAAGAAGCAGAAAAGTTGCTGACAGACAAAGGGGTGTCAAACCAAGTAAAATGACACTTACAGCATCTACCAATTAGATTAAGAGAAGAGACATGTGCTTGCCTCATGGACAAAATAGAGCTACCAATCAAGAAATGCATGGACAAAGTGGAGTAACCAATCAAACAATGCATGACTGTATAGACCAAGATAAAAAGTAAATATAAACAATGTTTAGAAATGGCTTTTGCTTGATTCACATTGAATTGTGCAGAGTCCTTTGTCTTCTCAGCCCACTGTGGTCACTTGCTTGCCAGCAGTGCGAGAGCCCAGGGTGACTGCCGGGGAGAAGAAAAGTATTTTAAAAACCCCCTTGGTAAAATTTCAAACCTCAGTCACAACAAAAGGTTCTGGCATTGGTTTCTGTTATAATTAGCAGTGCTAAAACATTTTCTTTTCAAATGAGCATTGAATTTCAGTATAATAGTGTGAAATATTTAAGGATCTTGATTTAACTCAATAATTTTTCTTGTATAGAATTCACAGCAACTTTCTGGGTTGTTTTTACCCTCAAAAGAAAAAGAAATATTAAGGTCTTATTTTCCTCTTCCACAAATCTTACCGTTTCAGTTATGGAATTTCCAAATCTAAAATTAAGTTTTTTTCTCAGTCATTTAAAAATTGTGTGAACATATGATTCAAGGATGGGAGCTGTTGGTTATTTCCAGTTTATCTGGCAAATTAACAAATCTAGGCAAACCAGCCAAGGGTTGAAATAAATCTCTAAAAGCTTAGAAGGTTATTGAAACAACACTGGCAAGAAACCTATTAAATATGCAGAGTAAAACCCAAGGCATAGACTTCTAATACTCTGTGGATGATCTGTTGGTTGCCTGGTGGGGGTTGGCATACATGATGTTGCCACTCCTTTTCAGACAGAAGGCAACTTCACTGAAACATGGAAAAGTCCTCAAAAGAAAGCAGAGATACTAATTTGGTTTAGCAGAGAAAGTGTTTGTGCAGTTAGATAACAGCTTGTAAGTTTACAAGTATGTTAATATTGTTAATTATTGTTATAATGTTAGCATTGTTACCATGTTTGTTAAGTTGTATGTTAAAATTTTTTAAGAATTCTTTATGTTCATTGTTGTTAGTCCAACAGAAGGAAGAGGAAACAAATTTGGTTGAGACTGTCCCACTGGCCTATGAGGATAGTTTTAATCTTAGGCCGTGGGAAATGGAGATTTAGATCATGCTAATGTTAATGTTTATTCTCTTCAGTTCAATGTAGATGACTGTTCTATTTTTAAGAAAACAAGAAAAGGGGGAGTGGAGACCTTATCCACTACAGGGAGGCTCAGTAAGGCTACATATGTTCTAATTTCTTGAACAACTCGAGTCTAATCCCCCAATTATCAGACGTTCTTCCAATACAATGCAAGTACAATTGAAGGAGAGAGCACCAGTTCTAATTAAAGATCTAGAAATCAGCCAAATTTTAGGGCCTTTCCCACCTGGGGGAAGGGATATGCTTGAGTCTCTACAGATAAAGGACCTCACTGTGTTCCAGCAAATTATCAAGCCGTATCTGCAATCTCTACAGGAACACCAAGAAGCTCAACAGGAGGAACCCTGGGGAGAATCTGCAGAAAAGACACCTTGAGGCCTGTGGATAGCCTTCTCTTACCTCTTACCCGCTGCTAATTAAAACCACCAGTTTCCTAGCTCTCTAAGCATTATTAATTTTTAAGTCCTAGACACAGATTATTCCACCAGACATGACTCCTAAAGGACTTCTGCTTGCTGTACCCATCCTGGTCCAGTGATTTCCTGTTACAGTCACCATCTGGGACATTTCTTATTTGGGGGGACAGAGCATGGCCTGGTAATACCATCAGACATTAAAGGGCAGACCACGTAGCTTGGGGAGGCTTACTTTGCTAGCACCTGAGATTGCCATAATTCATGACTGAAAAATTAGACGTAAGAGATTTGTCCATCA